GATTCATAAGATAGTATGATCGACCCACGAAAGCACTTTTAAAATGTCAGAAACACTCTCCAAGATACTGACACCTTATGTAAAATTCTCCCCAACACTTTCCTAGGAAATATTACAACAACATAGGTCCTAAATCTATACTTAGTGCCTTCAAAGTCTCTGCTTATTTCTCTACTAGCATTCCCGCCAGGAAAAGCTCCATCGACTTATTCTTCATTACTTAGAAAAAAAAGGAGAAATTATTCAGGCCTATCTCTCTCGCTTTCATAAAAAAAAATACTGAAAGTAGATGGATTGCTAAAACTCATGGCCATAGAGGCTCTTATAGGAGGGGTTTACAACCCTAGTTTAATGGAGGAAGATTTATGCTGTTCCTAATGAAAACCTTTTTCAGGCTAAAAGGTGACAAAAAGACATCTAGATTGAAGAAGTGATCGCTGGTTAACAACCTCATCCTTATTTTTAAAAATTAAAGAAGAGAAAACGAAGAGGGAGAGATCCTTGTAAAATCGCTCCAATCCAAATAGAAATTCCAAGGGACCAGTCCATGACTGCCTAGTCTTTCTTGAATTCCAATCTTTCGCTGAAAGTGGATGAATTGCTAGAACTCGTGGCCATAGAGGCTCTCATAGGAAGGGTTTACAACCATAGTTTAATGGAGGAAGTTTTATGCTCTTCCCAACAAAAACCTAATTAAAAGGTGATAAAAAGACATATCTAGATCGAAGAAGAAGTGATTGCCGCTTGACAACCTCATCCTTATTTTTAAAAAATTAAAAAAGAGAAAACGAAGAGGCGGAGATCCCTATAAAATCGCTCCAGTCCAAATAGAAATTCCAAAGGACTAGTCCATGATTGCCTAATCTTTCCTGAACTCCAATCTGCTCCCCTAGGTACTACCAAGATAGAGGTGTACACTGTCATATAATTAAGAGGAATGACATATGAATCATCCTTCTTCACGACACAAAAAGTTATTTTGCTTTGAAAAAGGAAATATAAAGCTTAATTGCCAAGGTTTACCTCCAATAATTTCTAAATCGAGGATCGGATCTAGGCTAAAGTAGAACAGGACAAAGCAATTATCAAAACAACCTTCCAGATCCATGGGCACCTTTCCTTGAAGCTTGACCCTTTACCAGATGTTTTTGGTCATCAAGATCGACCATGCATGCAAAACCATAATTGGAAGACTCCTTCTTTAAGAGATGAATGTTTTCATCAACATGAGATATTTAGCCTCAAAATTCAACATAAAAAGAGAATAATTGCAGTCAGAAGCAATCGACTGACCTTTTAAAAATGCGTTTCCTCATGCACGAAGATGAAGAGAGTCATAATAACAAAATATGAAAAGGGTCTGATCCTAGAAGAAAAGAAAAGAAAATATATACAGAGGCTGATAAATTTTATAATATTCAATTATTAATTAGTGACATATATAGTAGTTATATATAAAAGCACCATATACCAAATCAAATGTCAGCCAACTCGTTCTAAAAAGATAACAAAAATGCTCTGATCGATCATCCCGGCTAAAAGGAGACTTCGTCTACCAAGAGAAGGTTCAACAAATCAATAGGCATAATCCAACATTATAAAGGGTACACTTAGTCAAGTAGCTAAGAGTTTAAATTCAAAGTCTAAGAATTTCAAATTTGATAAGGAAGGGTTAGAAACGTGGATCCGCTTGATAAACTAGACCTGACCAAATAAGGAAAAATATAGTGTTGGGCCCAGAAAGAAATAGAGCATAATGAAAAGGTTCCATTAATACATTATTGATGAATCCTAACAAAATTGGATCAACAAGTTACAAATAAAGCCAAAACCAAGAAGAGAAAATATATTCACAAAAAGGGTCAATATGAGGGCTTTTCTCATTTACCCAAACAATCTAGTTGTTTGACTAGGGCCTCACATCCTCAAGAAATATAAAAAGATATCCAAATAGATGAATAGTTTTATCTCTGTTCTTACCCACAAGGTGGCGACATCTCTAAAAACCTCATTCCTTATAGAAAATAGTTACTCTAGTTAAAGAAGAAGTGAGGCACGAGCGAAGCTAGTTTGTGACATATTAGTAAAACTCTCACCAACTTCTTTCCCTAGCCATCAAATAGCTAGAGGAGCTTCTCTATACGGGGTAGGAATCCCAATATCTGATAGTGCAACGAGAGCCATTGCTCGATTGGTGGTAGGCTAGGGTATAGGTAGAGGCTCTAACTATTGTTTTGGTGAATCTTTTACAGTAGAAGTAATAAGATCAACTGTTTTGGTGAATCTTTCACATTTGATATCCTTGAGAGTAAACATGCAATGAATTAAGAAAGAAGAATTTGATTGAGAAAACTCCTTCAAGTCTTCACTCTTACTAGCGGTGGAGGAGTTGTCTTCTAAGTAGGAATCTGATCCCTCCCTCTTAGGTTTCTCATAAGATGCTCAAGAAAGACCAGCTTCATCTACTAAGGTAGTTTTTAGATTCTCTACACTTTACTTTAAACTTTTTTCGGATCAATCTCTTCCTCGAATGCCCTACTTATTACAAAAATCAAAAAATAAAGTTGCTGTACTTATGATAAAATTTCAATCTTAATAAGAAAAGAAATAAGGTTGGTTGATCTAATACCCCTCAAACTATGGGCCAATAACAGCCCTATAGCTAAAAAACTAATTCGATATCTCCGGGTTCTATTCTTCACTAGGTCAGCCTGAAATTGTGAAGTGACGATATTGTAACTACCTTGAGGTGTCCTCTGAAAAGGGCCATACCTGCACACTTTTTTAGCTCTACTTAGAGGCATATATATGCGTCCTATACTTTACTACGAATCACTGCTTTTAATAATCTTCTATGAGGTTTGTTTTGCCTTCAAACACCCTTTTTAACACTCAACTTGTTGGCCAGAAAAGCATAAAGTCACGTTATCCCTCTCCTCTTTTAAGATTTCCCAGCTAGAAAATAGCAATACCTAAGGAATGAATTTAAATTGTCTGTAAAAATTCTTTAAGGTAGTAATAATGATCCATCAATTCGAGTGAAGCTAACTTACGCATAAGTTATAATGTCAAAAGAGTTTTGTCATAAATCCGAATGAGAGAAACTGTAGTTATAACCAAATGTGCACACATGAATAATTATTTTTAGGTTTCCCCTCCTAAACCAGGCTGACTGCTTGCTAATCCGAAGAGACCATAAGTTGCAACAATTGGTAGACAGACAGTTTCAGACCCGAAATTTTGCCATCCTAGAATCGGTGCCACCTGCAGGTCATAATCCACTGCAGCTGCTTCAGCTTCATTCGCAGTTTTTGTGGCTGCATTCTCTTTTATGCAGAAACCGTTGCTTGTCCCTCTGTCTCTAAAAACGATAGAAACTCCTTTATGCTCATCTTCTCACATTGTAGTTTCTGAATTGAATTTGTAATAGGCTAAATAGCCTTGTTGCGGTGGCATCCATTCTGTCATCTTTTGGCTTTTCTCACAGGCCCATCTTCTAGTTTTCTGTTGTCGTTGTTCCGAAGCATGTCCATGCCGATTATCTTATTTTGTGCCTTCCTAAACTGTCGAAGCAAGCAACCAACCAACCAAAGCAGCAGTTTCAACTCCTCCTCCATCCTTGAGAAACTAGCTTGAATATTTTCCTCCACCCTTAGCTAATACAGGGAAAGATTCATGGATGGAAAGAAGGCTAGAGGAAGGGAGTGGTCGAGTAGGGTTGGATTTTTAAGGAATTTTCAGTGCCAGTTGCTCTTCATTTTATTGTTCCACCATAATAGATGCTTTAACCCTATTGATCCATTGTTGTTTTCCGTTACTTTTTTTCTGAGAAGGATATTTTTTTCGGTATTGCCTGTGGTAAATCTCCATAGAGAGACACCGCCTGTTATACATCGGTAGTTTTTTCACATTGATTGATAATACCCCTAATCTTTTTTGAAGACATTTTTTTTCATAGATCCTCTGTTTTAACCGCCGTCCAAAAATTCTTTAAGCATTAACTCAAGTCACCTGATTCTCATAAAATGAAAATAAAAAATCATAATAACGAAATTACAAAAAAAAAGTGACGGAAGATTAATTAACTAGGGTTTTCATGATTTTTGAAACAAGCACACACAAGTTGTATCGGAAAAGGTCTGCATTTTCCCAAAGTATAAGAGTATCAATCATAGTGGACCAAAGTGAAGGCTCCTACAAACTATTTTTTATTCTTAATTCAGTATCTGTCATTTAGTAAGAAACAGATTCAATTTACCAAAAGGAGAGGCCATCTAGTTTATCTTGACAATCATTGTTCAATGCCACTTAAGAAAATTAGGAGCAGCATAATGAGCCAAGTTCATGCAATATCCATCATTCTCTAACTAAATTTTTATGCAAAACAATCAAGTAATACAGAAACATAGGCACTCTTTGCCTCATTCCATATTCATGGTGATTACAATCCAGTCCGGAAATGCACTTAGCCAGCAGAAAACTTAAATGGAACAATAACACCTGCATCACAGCCACTTCATTGCCTCACAGAAAGTGTTCACGCAGCTAACTCACATAAATTTCAAGTCATCAAACTTATTTTATCCTTTTCATTTGTTTTGTTTTCAGTTTTTACCCAGTTGGGGGTGTTCTGATTTCGAAGGGGTCTAAACTTGCAAAAAGAAGATAAAGAGGAAGTCACTTACAAGACAGGACAAGAGGAGAATGTAAAACCCAAGAAGAACACATGTCTGGTAGATACAACAAAAACAACATCGAAAATAGCAAAGTGCAGTTTTTCCAACTAGCAGTGTTCGTGCTGTACTCCCCATACGTAAGAGAAAATGCAGCAGCCTAATGCTAGGAGAAATACGTGCCAAAAGCACAAAAGATTTGCAAATACATGATATTCATATTTATAACATGGCAAAACATCTAGCCGTAATGTAAATATTCAATACAAAATACAGCATAACTATTTCTCTGCCCCTAATAATGAAATGGGGATGGTTGAGGAAAGACTACTGGTCCTTGTACCTCTTCTCCACTTCCTCCAAACTCTGAATCTCCTTGTAATATTTGCATATACGATAAACACACCTGCAGGCACATACAATGGCACATGGCATGAATGCAAGTAAATACATCAAGCATTTTCCAAAAAGCTTCGAAAACAGACATACCAGTAGAGAAGGCATGCTGAAACGCATAGAATCACGTTCCTTTGAGCTTTGTAGATCTGCACAGCAGACCTCAACGATAAGCTTACGTAGATTATAATGATAATAAAAATTAAAATACATTCCTCTACCATAAGAGTCTCCTGAGATGCATGTCCCCACTTGAACTGGAAGTTTTCAGAATGATGCAATGTAATAAACCTACCAGTACTTAATCTATCAATCTAAGTAACTTTAAGAGAAAAAATTGTGCTTGGGGAAGGGGGTTAGGGGGAGAGTTTGTTTGCTCTTTCCATTTTGAATGATCATTCTTCATACTAGAAATCTCAGCTTTGAGTAAATTCCACCAGTTAGAAAGGGAACCATCTCCATGTACAACAACTCTCAGAAATTATATGATTTGTTCTTATACATATGTTCCCATCTAACAGAAGTAATGGAAATAACTACTAGAATATTCTTTTGAGAAAAATTATGGGGTATACACCTTAACAAAAAAACAGCAATCCAATTTAGCACTTCACCAGAAATTCAAAAATTAGGTATGCCACTTGTCAGAGAGGTGAGGCATGCCATGACTTAAAGAGAGAAATTGTGTGCATGTGTTTACAGCTACGTGCTCGCATGTGCATTACTTGCTATGCTTACATGGCATTAATAATAACTAGCTAAAATATTGGAGCATGCAGCAGAAGTTCAAATGTTGTCTTATTGTGGAAATGAAAATCCAGCATCTACTGAACAGAATCTACTGGCAGTGGAAGAACGATAATTGTGTAAGGAGCTGATTGATATTCATGCAGTTTTTTCTTCTTATGCTAACTGCATTGACAACAATCCTTATGCAGATTCTAGCCTCTTGTCATGTGTTAATGCAAACTAAATAAAGCTGCAATGACTGTAGCCCCGCCCATCGCACCCTGTCCCCAACACACACACACACACACACACACACGTAACTGAGAGTCCTAGATGAGAGAGATTAATGGCTCAATTCTGCTCTGCCAGATCCAGTGGCATCTAGCATCCACTGTCATATTCCCAGGGAATCCCTCTTTTTGCACTCAACATTTCCCATGAACACCTCACCTCTTAGATTACCCACCTTTCAAACACGTTAATGACAATCAAGCTGTTTGGACATTCATGATGCTAGAAGTAATAATCTACATTTCCCAAATCAAGCAATCACTTTTCATATCAGAAAGACAACTAAACTGCTTTATTCTATTATAATAATTTGATAGTCTTGCAATGGCTCATTTAAATGTTCAAGTGAAGTTACGATGAAACAACGTTACAAGTCTGTAAGTAAATAAGGAAGAACCCAATGGAGTAAACTTGTACATACACAAAACTTAAGAGTCCATAATAAGGGTTATGAATAGCATCCACAAATCTTCAATAATTCAACAAAAAGTGAAAAATGTACCGCAACACTTCATAACCGTAATACTTAAGATTATCGGAAGTGAAAAAATAAAAAATAAAATCATGACAACCTCAACAATCTCAGCTATCCTAGAAAAAAAAAATCCACTGAAACGTAATAATTTCATCTCAGTCATTGTTTAAAAAAATATTTACCCGGTCCCTAGTCCCTGTTTCTATTCATTTCTAATTGCTTCGATGAATTTAACGGTTCTTGGATAAAGCTTATTAATAATTGCAAATCGCAACAAACCCGTGACAACATTTCTGACAGAGGGGAAAAAAAGGGAACAAATCAGCAATCAGATCAAAACAACTTACCGATTTCTCATAACGATCTCTTTCAGCAGCAGTGCAGGTCTCGCCAGTACACATCAATCGATGCTCATTCTTCCAATATATATCTATTCCCAAGAAAAACAAAATCAAACCCAAAATTTACAAAGCCGAAATGAAAGCAAAACGATTAAAAAAGAAAAGAAAAACAAACCCAGAAGCTGGAATCCGGCAAAAGGGACAATAAAGAGAGCCGGCTGAAGAAGGAGAGAGATCAGGGAAACCAATCGGTACTTCAATAGCTTTGGCGAAGGCAATGTTAAGAGTCCCGCTATAGCTGCCTCTACTGCCACCACGTACGTCAGTATCATCCATTGCAACGCCATTTCTTTCTTGCTTCCTTGCTTTCTCTTTGGTTTTTCACTGACCGCTGAGTTTTTATTCTGTTTTTGCTTAACAACCAAGGTTTTTGATTTTTGATTTTTTTTTAATTTTCTAGATCTTTAAGCTTGATTTTGTGATTTGCGTTTTGGGCCGTTGGATCGAGACTGCCGAAAGAGAGAAAAGTCAGGGACACGTGGGTGAGGAGCACGGGTTTTTAATTGCTCACAGGTGGCCTCTCTCTCATACAGTTAAATGAGGTGGTTGGTTGGTTTTTTTTTTTTGAACTTGACCTTTATTCTTCCAAATTCCTAAATTGAAGAAAATATGAACAAAAACCCGTATATATACATTAGCAAAAACAATATAAATGCAAACGTTTTTCTAAGAAAATATGACTGTTTAACGCACTAGTATAGGAACCCAGAACAATGCATTGCTCAGCCTCTTGTAAGGTGATGGGGATTACCAACAGGTTTCAAATTTGACTTTTATTTTTATTAGAGATGTCTCTAAAATCAAGAGATTGGCATAAATGAAAGCATAAAAAACTTCAATAATTAATTGAAAGACATGTTTCTTTCATACTGTGGAGATCATCATTATAAATAAAGAGCTTTTCTAATTACAGATATGGTCAAATAGGAAGCTAAGGAATTAATTTAAAATCCTAGACTAAGTGGAGAATTCCTTTGTAGCCTTCGTTAATTACTAGATAATAATCTTATCTAGTAAAGAAGGCAGCTTATCTGTCTGTTTGTCTGTCTGTCTGTCTATATATATAGAAGAATACTATATATATCCATATAATTCCATGCGAAAAATTAAGAATATAGAAGAATACCTGAAAGAAGTAATGACTTAACCTAAATGAAGCATCAAGGCAGAGGAAGAGAAGGTATTGATGAGGGGAATGAAGCCTGGTCCGAGAAAACTCCTAAACTCAGATCCTTCAATTCCTTCCGTTTAGTAGTCGTTTCGAGCCAGACGACAGTCTCCCCCATCTTCACTTTCTCACCAAAAAAAAAAAAAGACTTTCAATTTTAAAAAGATTGCACCACACAACTTTGTTCTTGCAGAATGTTCATATTTTCTTGGTGAAAAAAAGTTGCAGACATCTTGAAGGGAAGTACTGAAAAATCCACGTGGTGTTTGTGGTATTAAATAGAAGAGCTATATATATATATATATATTCATTGGCTTATTGACTTGGGAACTCACCTCGTGGCAGGTTGGTGCATGCTCTCTTTATCGTTAAGGTTTGCCAACATTGATTTTTATTGCTTGCAGAGGCGGCTAATATTCTATTAAAACTTCAATTTCTTTATTTTTATTTTTTCATGAGAACTGCCAGATTAATCTGAATTACTGGATTCCATAATAATAATAATAATAATAAAATGTCACAATGCCAGTCTGATAAAAAGAAAAAAATAATAATTTTGTATAAACTAGAGCCACTTTGCTGAATTGATCTCTAATTGGTTAGGCATCTAATTTATTATGCAGTAGACATGGATTATATAGATTCAGCATTGTGGACTCTTTTGAGTGAATCATATATATATACTCTTCGTATATACCAATGATAAAACGAGGAATTTACTTTCATTGTTAACAGGTTTGGAACACAGATGTTTGAAAATGTGATGGAAGTTCTGAAAATAGTTAAATGGGTTGGTTAACATGCAAAAAAAAAAAAAAAATTGACAATCAGTATATACTAGCATACAAATATATATATATATATATATATATATATATATATATATAATGGGCTTTTTCTACAATTTTTTGCTATAATGCAAAGGCAATCAAATCTCAAAACATGTAGATTTAAGGGTTAATTACTCCATGTCAACCTTTCATTGTTATGCCTTCTTTTATATATATTAAGAAACAAATCAAGCTTTTTCGAGTCTATACAGAGTTAGCTACCGAAAAAGATTGTAAAGTTTCAAATATGGGAGATTGATATAGTTCAAGTTGGTTTTGGAAATACAATTAGAGGAGGGAGCTTCGTGATTGGGAGATTCAAGAAGTAGAAAGGCTGCACCATTTAATTTCAATTGTTCACCCGAATCTAGGTGTCGATGATAAGAGAATCTGGGCTTATGACATAAAAGGCTTATATACTCGTTAAGTCTTGTTCTTCAACTTTAGATTCGATTTTGCTACATGGTGACTCACATATAATTTCTTATGTTTGTAAAGGCTTAGCTCCGCTAAAAGTAGAAGCTTTTTTCTAGTTAGCGAGTTCACTACAAGTTACAAACAAGGGATTTTCTTTTTTGTATTGGTTTAGTGAAGTATTCAACCGACTTATGTCCTTTTTGTAATGATTATCGGAGTCCGTGTCTCATCTCCTTCTCTATTGCCATGAGATTTGGCATTTGTGGTCTAAAATCTTTCGCTAATGGGGCCGTTCATGGATTGCCCCTAAATCTGTAGATGATCTTTTTCAACGAGTGGAGCTTTTATGTTCATGGGCATATGCGAAGAAATTGTGGTTTCTTGTTCTCTGTTCAAGCCTATGGTTGATCGAGCTAGTGCGAAATGATCTTATCTTTAATGGTACCACTCATGATTGGGCTAACGTTTTTTCTTTGGTTTTTTCATAGAGTGGCACATTGGGCTAGATATATTGATAATCATTTTGTCTATTCTGAAAATGATCTTCTTATTAGCTCAAATAAAATCAAAAGATGGATAAATACTTTAAGAACCCGTCGTTTGGGCTCGCTAAATAGATAGTTCATTCTTTTATTGTTGGGGTCTAGTTTTGCTGTTTTTAGAAATATTGTTGTTTAGTTTGTCTCCTTATTTGTATTATCAACTCTTATTATAGCCACTTTCTTGCTGGCTCTTTTCTCTTTTATATATTGATCGACTTTTATCAAAAAAAGAAACAAATCAAGCAAAAGAATATAGTAAAAAGATAAAAATAATCACACAACAAAAATATTTTACATAGTTCGACAATGATGCTTATTTCACGGATGCACTAGAAGTTCTTATTAAGGTTTTCCAAATGATGGCTATAAATACAAGTGATGCAGTCTTTTGTAAACCATTAAAGAGCTCCGTCTTGCTAGATCTATATAGTGCCATATACTAAGGGTATCATCCATGTTAATCTCCACAACTTAATATCTTTGCTTATGTCTGCTGTCTTGATGCTCGAGTTATGACGCTTTATGATATTTCCTGATCAACTACTAGTGTTTTTTGGGTTGTTCTGTGTATGCTTTAATGGCCCGGAATCATGTCTGCATGTGTTTGAGATCAAGAACCAGTTAATTTGCACCTACAGTGATAATAGAAGAACCTACCTTCTTAATCAACTGTGAATTGTGTTTCGTACTTTGCAAATGTCTAATCTTCTCAATTTTAATTGTCATTGTCCCTAGCTCAGGTTTTGGCTTGCAATCACAATGATAGGCTTCACACAACCTCACTTTACTCTATTGCGAGCTATGTTGCTTTGACCTTTAGTTTGCCTTAGAGTATCCACGTCCAATATTGGACACTTGGATACTCCAATTACATGGAAAAATGAACGAAAATTTGGAAAAGAAATAGCTTATTCCGACATGAGTATGCTTGTCGGACATGCATCCAAGTCAGATATGGATCACGGGTTCGAACAACATCTTGCAAGCTTATCGATCTTCTATTTCTGATACTTAATTCCGATATGGAGTTATGGAATGACTAAATTAATGAATGGATTTGTTAAATAATTATTTGTTTCGTTTTATGAATTTGTTGGACTTAGTGAAAATCATGATTCCTGACTTGATTTGGTCTACTTTTGGTAGTGCTATTACTGCATATTCCAAGATGGATTTTTTTACTCTGCACCCATGACACACTATCTCTAATACTCTGATTTCTACGTTTGCTTTGCTGATATGCAACATTTTTATTCAAGGCTGCATTTTTTTCCTGTTTCTCTGTTCTGTCGTTTTCTACAGTCTCTTCAAGCCAGGTTTCTTGCTCACTTGGTGTTCGTTAAAGCATCTGTGGCTTTATAGAAAAATAATGTATGTTCATATATGCATAGTTTCTACAGGCCAGCCTTTCCCCTCTTTTACTTTTCATTTTTTGGGCTTGGGCTGGGCTAAAATCAGCCCAGCCTTGGGCCACACTAGCTAGGCTTTACATGGGTTGGACTTGTCCAGCCCTTCTTCTCTTTTTCCTTTTCAACAAAAAGCTGGATTGCATCATTTTTTTCTTAAACCAACTCCAATTTAACAAAAGATCAAACCTTATGTCTTCCATCCTCTCCTCCTTTCTCTACTTCTTCCATTTCTTGTGATCGCACAGCCTATTGTCCTTCCTCTCCTTCTGTTTTATTTTCAACCTGCTAAAACAATCAAAAACAAAGAAGAGACAAGCCAAAAAGGAGAGGATGGGCAGTAGACCCAAGATTGAGGGCAGTGCCGCATCAGACCCAAAGAGAAAGTGGATGGAGAACGACATCCAAAGAAGAAATGAGATGCAAGATGAAGCAGACCCAAAAGAGAATTGGGACCTTGCATCAAGAGAGAAATAGACAAGGCTCTAAAAGGGTTGAGTGCAAGTTCTGACACAAGTGATGATATGGTACTAGAAAGGCCACACATGAAGAAAAGAAGATGGAGGAAAATGGCCAGTGAGCCATGATGAAGAAGAAGGCAGCAGCCTAAATGAATCTAAATGAAGAGTGAGCCAAAACAGAATGGCCGTTTGAAAAGCCAAATCTTGACATAGAATGTGGCAGCACCCACAAGATGAGAAAAATGGCAAACAATAGCCATGTTCAAGTAATTACTATTGCTGAAGAAAAGAAAATTGCAAAGATGGTAATGAAATGTCATTAGCTAGTCATGATGATAAAGAATGGCTAATTCAAATATCCGATTGCTAATACATTTCAAATCTCGAGAGTTATAAGACCTTCAAAATTAAGGAGGGGTGTTTGAAAATAATTTTGAAGTCTAGAATGATGTAAAAGTAAGTTGTTCCTCAAAAAGTCACATAAATGTAATATATTAATGATGTGATTCTCTAGAGTTATACTACTGTAAATATATGTTTAGTAAGAGTTGTAATTGAAGTCCAAATCATGTGATTTCCTTTCTTAGGAGAGCAATACAGTACCAATATATGAGAATCACCATGCTTCCCTCTCCTCCTATATTTTCTAACGCCAACAACATGAGTGAGAATAGACTTCGACAAAAATGAAATAATCTATCTAAGAACCAACTGGTCTTGACGATACCAAATATCATAAGCTGGATTAGAAGCATTCTCAACAAGAGTGAGAGATGGTGGCTCCATGGCACCATCAATACGACGAAGCAGATTAAGAATAAGTTGCATCTGCCAAAGAAGGAAATTGGGGAAACTGAGCTTGATGCATGGTGAATTGGTGTGAAATATTTGGAGATGGGCCAAGAGTTTGCGTGGAGATGGAAGCAGCAGAGACAACAACCTTGGGCGGATTGGAAAGGATTGACTGAAAAAAAAAAAAAAAATTACACATTGGTTGTTAAGCCTATTGTGGCTCTGATACCAAATTATTATTATTATTATTATTATTATTTATTGCAGAATTTGTTATAATCCACTTGGTTTTGTGTTATCAAATAGAAGCTCCATTCTTCGGCCTGTTGACTATGGAACTCACCTCGTGCATGGAAGGTTGGTGCATGCTTTCTTTATCGTTAAGACTTGCTATAATCGATTTTTATTGCTCGCAAAGGCGCAAGGTTAATATTCTACGGATGGATCATGAAGAGCATGCAATTGCATTGGGCTATATACAAAGGAACGTCTTAAATAATAATAATAATAATAATAGAAATTAATTGTCAGATTGCCCCCGTCCAATCAAAAGATTTCTTAAAAACAAAAACAGAACCAACTTTGTTGAATCTAATCTCTAACTGATTACACATCTAAAATAATTTATTAAATTTGTTAAATACATGACCAGCTCAATATAGGGAGTGTATTTTTAAAATATTCAAAAAATAAATTAATAAAAATTAGTTTATTTAATACGCAAATTGATCTAAATATATATTTCATCATCAGATAAAAAAATTATTAGGTATCTGAATTGTGGAGTTTTTTTTTTTTTAATCGAAATTTAAATAATCTGCTACTTTATGATTATAATGTAAACGTGGACGCATTCAGCGTTGAGGACTCCATTAAATGAATATTATAAACTCTTCATACATAGTGATGACATTCCCGATAATTTACTTTTACTGTTAACAAATTAGGAACATTTTTTAAAATATTATAGAAGTTCTGGAAATTACTTTAATGGGGCAGTTAACATGCATGCGAAAAAATCAAATGGCAGGCAAAATATATATATATATATATATATATATACACACACATACTAGCTTACAAGTTATACATGTAAAAAAATGGCCATTTTTTCAATGTCTTTGCTATAATTGAAAGGTATATTCATCAAATCTCAACACTTCAATTTATTTCAAATAAATTATAAACTATTGCAGAGAAAAATCATTACAAATAACCGACAAGCTTATTAATTAATGCTAAAATCACAAGTAATGCTAGAACATGCAATAAAAAAATTGCAGAAACGAGAAAAAAGATAATTTTAATTAGGAATTGATAACGCTGCACTTCTTTCTGATTTCCCCTGACGAGCCAGTAAGAACCCCAATTGCTCCCATTCTTTTCATTGACTGTCCAAATTCTTTAAAAAAATCAGTTGAGTTAAGCAACTCTCCAACAATCTTGTTCGAATTTTTGTTTGTTAGAAGGGCTGCATCAGATTGGAAGAGACCCTTTTTCTGTTGAAGGATAACAAAGTAAGAACTATCGAAGTTCTGAGAGCTGCCAGGGTCCATCTCTACTGTGGTTGTATTGTCGCTAAGACTTTGGCACTTGGTCTTTAAGAAAGCAGCGTATGTTGAGTTCAGGTTAGGGTCCTGGTCTCCTTTTCCTGTGAAGTTGTATAGCCGGTTGCTGAACAGGTTGCAGTGGCCTACTCCAATGGTATGTGCCCCTACGTTCAGTGTATATAATTCAAGTAATGTTAAATATCAATGATCTTGAGAAGTGTGTGTGCCCATAATTTCTTGAACATATATATATATATATATATATATATATATATATATAATGTACCTGATAGGACAACTAGATCGTGAACAGTTAGACGCTTGCTGTTGAAACTTTGAAGAAGGGTGGAAAAGTTGGAGAATGGGGTAGGAATTTCAGCCAAGGCCTCTGAAGCAAGTGACACATTACCATCTCTTCTACCAGTAAGCACTTCCCACATTGGTTTTTTGAACTGCACGACAGTGTTGTTTGCTATGATTACATGCATGATCACTGGGGTTGAAATGAAGAATATTTATTGTGATATATATTTTTATATATATACCTGGAGTGAGACGGCGTCCCTGGCAGCCAAGGCCACAATGTCAGCACAAGATACTTTACTTGGACATTTGTTCTCTAGCTCCGTTTTAATCTCATCAATAACATCAAAGCCTGCCAAACTTAGATTTGGAGTTGCATCTTTTTCTGCAGTGCTATTTGCTGTTGAATTTATTAAAACCGAGGCATCGCAGCCCTGCAGAAATTTTATTTTGAATTAGCTTGATATATATGTATTAGAATTAGAAAATGTAACGATACTACATGCATAAGATGTTTCTTCTATTTTCAGGCATATAGAAAACAACAAATACCATACTATACTCTTAACAGGGGATTGAATATTTAAGCATTTTGCTTAATTACCCTAACAAAGCAGTCATGAAAATGCAGTCTTAATAACTTTGCAGGTAAGTTGAGGTTGGTTTCAGCATGTCTCTCGGTGATATTTTTGACAATAGCCTCAGCTTCAGGGCAAGAGTTCCTGTAGAAGTTCTTCCTCAAATCACCAGCCTGACAAAACCCAACAACAGTAAAGACTACTACAAAAGCAAAAACAAAAGCAGTCTTCATATTAATCTTAGACCTAGTGTATATATACTACAATTCTCAGCCCAATTCCTCTTAAGCAATGTATATATATGATTCTGAGTGTGATCTCTAGCTACAATGCAATAGACAAAACCACCTCCTTATATACTAGTGAAACGGAATCCTTCCCATGTAAGATCCAGGTAAGCAATGCATTATTCTATAATCTAATTAGAGGCAGACAGAAACCTAGATTAGTTTATCATTTTCCTGCATCAACAACAACTCTTAATACATTGATTGATCCATGCTGTGAAAAAGATGACCTTATAACATGATCATTAAATTAACCACCTCCTTTTTTAGGTCAAATTAACAAATAATATTAATATGGAGCAAGCAACCCTGCCAACAGAGATTTTTTTTTTTTTTTTTTAATACGCGTACAACTGTTTTTAGACTTCCCTCAATATTTTGTCTATTTTATGTTTTTCAACTTTAGATAGAAAGAGCAAGAGAAAAAGGTCAACTATTTTGTACAAAAGAGGGGCAATGTGTGTGTCTATATATATATATATATATATATACGTATGAACAAAAAATTAAAGGAGGCAATTGGGGCTCTGCCCCTTCGTGCTCTTCTAGCTTAAAAGGAAATAATTAAAAATAATCTTGGTGTTAGATATATGCTGGACTGAAAATACACATACATACTGGCTGAATGTTTTTTTTTTTTTCCTCCTGATAAACATACAGGTAAATTTTAATTTATCTTTATGTTATCTCAATTTTACCTAAAAATTTTTATTTGCTTCAGTTAGTACCCATATCTTACATTATTGTTTCAATCATATCTTTCAATTTTGCTCGAATTTCCGCCTTCCCTCTGTCCATTTCCATCAGGATTAATAACGAAAAACATACGTAGATTTCAATTCCACCTCCAAAATTTATGAAATATTTTAATATCAACCAAAAAGTCAAAAAAAAAATAAAATTCAAAAGTAATAAAAATAAAAAATAAAAAATCAATTGCAAAATAATTTTTTAATAAAACAAATATGATAAAACTTGAGAAAGTTAGTATGTCAATAAATACCTTAATCCCACAAACTTCAGCTCTCCCTTAGCAACATCTTTTTTTTTTTTTAATCAATACTACAGTTAAATAAAAATAAAAATTCAAATGAATCTAACTCTAGGTGATGTCGGTTCTATCCTATCTTTATCCTACCATTCCAACTATTTGACAATTTAATTTATTTATTTTTTTAGAATTCTTGTTCAAGCTTGAATAGCATATTTTGATGGAGAATTTGATGAAAAATGTAGATATTATATGCTAGTAAGAAAGTGTAGGAAATGCAACGATGGTAGTGGTTGGTGTTGATTTTATTTTTTATTATATATTGTTTTAAATTAATCTTGTTCTTGTATTGTCAAGTGATTGATAAATAGTGTTAATGACATAAATTCTTTTTTCATTATATTTGTTTTAGTGAAAAAAATCTTTATTTATTTATTTATTTTTTTTAATCTCGGTTTGTTCATCCTTACTAGTTCGATTATATTAAGGTATTCCATTAACTTTGAGGAAAAAATTGAAAATTTCACACCTTTTTTGTTACTATTAATTTCTGAAAAAAATGGACAAAAATGAAAAGTAGAACAAATATGAAAGATACTGGATTTAATTAAAAAAAATTAAGTAAAATTAAAATATCACATAAATCTCAAAGAAAGTAAATTAGAATTTACCCTAAATATATTATGATGTTGTTTGATAATCAATAATAAAATAATAAAAATTGAAATGAAAGTTTCATTCCCAATGTTATATAGGTATCAATAAAAAATAAAAAATTCTTGTTAGTATCACATCAAAGTCAAACAAGAACACGATAAGAAAGGTGAAAACTCAATATTGTTGATGTATAGTGGTTGATTGATTTTTGAAGAATAATTAGATCCATCTATGACTCGTCCTTGCACATGGCTATATATATATATCAGATGAGTGTACTCTTGGGTTGCACCCAGAAATTTGGGTATAACGACAATAAGCAGCCAGTCTCTACTTAAATACTCAGGGAGGGTTCCTCGTTCCATGCCGTGATACTTGTGTCATTGAAAGTTGAAACCCATGGTCAGACCAACAATGTGCCTCTAGCTAGTTTCATTTGAGCAAAATATTATCTTTTTTGGTTTAAATGCATAGTGCCATTCTTAGATTATGGCATTGAGAGATAGAAAAACACTGGGGCATAATGATTCCACAGGGCAAATAAATGCATGAGTCGCATGCAAGACATGCAATTTTTTAGAGTGAAAAGGAATTTGATAGATTATTCAGTTTGACATTTTCATCGAATATTAATTACCTTGATTGCGAAAACTAAATTAGGTTTAGCTGGATGAATTAGAACAGACTTGGTACTTACCAAACTAATGATTAGCCTGTGCGTCCACCAAAAACATTCATCAAATTCTTAAATTTCCGGACGACAGTTTCTGATCAAATTCAAGAATCGTGCATATAAAATAGTTTGGAAAAGAAAAGGCGAAAATAAGAACATGGGATATCTTGTCTATTTCAGAAGATTTGATTAATTGGAAAAGTCAAGTAATTCTTTCATTTTTTAGTTGATGGATCGAGTTTCGACTTTTTCAATTGGATGTATTATAAAATAATATAAATTATATACTGAAATCGCATCTAACAATTTAAGTAATTTTTTAATGAGATGATCATTTGACAAGATGTTTAGTATGCATTACGTAAGGGAGTGTTTCTATTGCAACAGCTTACCTCTCCCTCTTTTTTAAGCCATGCTAGCTTGTAAGGCTTAGGGTGCCCCTCCGTTTTGAGATTCGGCTTTTGCACTTGCTTCATTAGATATAATATTTTCACAACTACCAGCATCAATGACAAAACAACATACCTTATTTCGAATTATGCGGGTGGACTAGAAAATATGACTCCTTAACCAACCATCATCGGTAACTTTAGGAGTCAAGTAGGACCTTCTAACAACCGAGTGTTGTCCCCTCATCGCCCCTCACAACCTCTTCTTTCGGAGCATCTATCATCATAAACGGGATCATCGGTTAGCTCTACATAACCTCTATTATAATCCACTGTATCGCAAGAAGCACCCTTTTGCTCGCCTTCCGACACTCGGATTACACGGTGTTAATTTCACCATAGCTGAAACATTTCATGTTATTATCGAATGCCTCGTTAGTCCGTCTAGTAACGGGAGTGTTTCGTTACCTTCGCCTCTTGCTTGGTCTACACTACCACCATTACTATCGAAACCGCCGGTGGCCCCGTACTGAAAGGATTAATAAAGCTGCTCAAATGACACGACTGCTTCTCAACTCGCAATGCTTTTTGAAAGACAACTGAAAGACACACGGGGTCAAACATATTAACGGAGTCTCTAATCTATGGTTTCATTCCACTAATATACCTCGCAACCGGTTGATCCTCCGTCTCTTACGGTTTGTTCCGAGCTAACAACCGATAGAACTCGGTGGTGTAGTCATCTACCGATCGGGCCCTCTATCTCAAATCTTGTAACCGTTGGTACATCATACTTTGGAAGTTGTAACATAAGAAGACAGTACGTATATGCTTGTTCATCTTTTCCCAATACGTAATCTTATGCTTACCCATTTGGTTTCGATTAGCTTCGGTTGCTCTCACTAACTCTGTTGCTCTTTTCCTAAATCTAATGGCTACTAAAGATACACGTTTATCTTCAAGGACTTCTTTAAATTGTAAAATCTCCTCTACCATTGACAACTAGTCTAAGAATTCTTCTACCCGAAGAGTACTATAAAATTCAAGAATCTTAGTTCGCATATCATTCTCCCACCTCCCACTCGTCATAATCTCTCATAGGAATCCTCTATCGCCGGACCGGGCTATTTTCATCATCCTCATTGTCATCAAGATCGACCTCTAGCACCTCCCAATGATGATTTTGGTTCGGTTCTTAAGGCCTCTACCCATGTTCATCGTTAGCACACCCATTTGATGTGTCAACGCCCTTATCTACTCGTGTCAAGCTGCTCCATCCTATCACTCATCTCGCTCAACTCACTACTCTAAATGCACTACATCGGTGTGCTTATATAGCTCATCAACATCTCGCTCTCGTTGCTGCTTGTCTCCTTAGCGGCATGGTTAGGAAAGCAATATCCAAGCTTTGATACCAACTAATGTAGCAAAAACTCACAAGAAAATGATAAATACTATTAATATGAAATTTAGATACCGATCTACTACAACTCGTTGAATTGCACACATAAACACTAGGAAATATGCTTCAATCCCGGTGATTCAAAGAATGCTAAAAATTAGAAAAACTAAGATACTCTCTCACAAAAGTTTATTAATCAAGCAAAAGTGTCCTTTTTTAGCCTAGAAGCCTTACATAAATAGTAAATTTTAGGTCAAAACCCTAAAACAATTTGAAAAGAAAATAAACACCAAAAATATAAAATTAAATAAGAAAAATCCTGTTGAAATAATAAATTACAATTTTGAGGGTCTAAACGATTTTTTTTAGCAAAATAACCCCTACTAAATGGGCATAGCCCATGATTTTTGCTCGTTGGCCCGTTTGGCCTAAAATTAGGCTAAAAAAACCTCGGAATTAAGCCAATAGTGTTTTTTTTTAGCTCCTAGCGCACTCATACTATTTCATGAATTCCCTAGCTTGTTGACCCGCATCACTAATGATTTTAATAATTCAAAGCTTGTGATTTATATACATGCCACGGATCCGAGCTATGTGATTCATATACATTGAATCATTAAATAAATAATAAAAATACAATTTTGATAAACTATACCGCTTGGTTATAGCTTTTTGTCCTTGTTAGTCATAGCCTTTTTATTTTTTATTTTTTTGCTACATGAAAACCGACATCAAAGGTTGCTACCAAAAGGAATCTCATATAGATGACGGCTTCAAAAAGATAATTATACCATACTTGTTCAATTGCATGAGCGGTGTATTTTTATTAAAATT